ATATGATAGAAGAAATGTCTTAACTACGAATTATTTTGTACACAGATACGAATTTAGTCCTGAAAATTGCTTTTCAAAACTACAAGCAATGATGCTACCGTTAACTGACATGTTATATTTAAAATTACCTGGACAATGAGCTAAATGATCGGTTTTATTCATTACTGAAAGTAAAATCTTTGTTATGAGTCAATTTATGCCAACACGAGAAATGAGTTTATCGTGAATATTTATGAAAGCCAACATCGAATTCGAATCTGAATCCTCCATTTCGGAAAAAAATTTAAAAGAATTGGCTAAAAATATATNTACCTAATTTATATATAATTTATATATAATACTGTACAAACGATAGCAAACTCAATTTAGCCACTCTGTAGCGTGGCGCAGGGCGGAGGAAAGTAGTTCGGCTGCTCATCCACTATTGGTCCAGATTCTATCAATCTTATCGCGACACGAGTCGGCAACGACGTTTTAGGAGCTTTTTTATACGAATGTTGATACAATTTTTTCGTTACGTTATAGGAATTTCCGTTATAAAAACGCACGTTATAGGGGGGTCGACTGTATAGACTTTTGGTAGCTTCTAATATTTGGTTATTTGTATTTTTCGTATTAATATGTGAAGAATTAAAAAAAAAAAAACATTTTTTCTGTTTACTGAGATCTTTAAGAAAAAGCCAAGTTTCTTCGTCACGACTATATTTAATGCTGATATTCTACACGTATGTTTTAGAAATTACAAAAAAAATTTCAAATATATACTGTCCAGTGTTATTTCTTTGAACAGTTTTATATCGGAAGTAATCCAATATTCACTTTCCATAATTTGTTACTTCTTCCAAACAATTTAATATTAAATTTAAATTAAAAAAAATCTAAGCAGAAATTTAAATTATTTTACTTTATTTATTACAATTCTAGTTTTATATTGTCAGGGTTATAGTTGTCAGGTTGTTTTTGTTAGTTTAAAAATGTATATTTATGGTTAATACACCAAATAATGTATAAATAAAAGAAATTAAAAATTGCTTAAAATGCATTTTGCACTTGTGTTAAAGTAGGGGTCCCCAAACTTTTTATCCTGTCGATCCCTTTATAGAATATTTGCCTTCTTATCGACCCCCAGATTAAGTATTTAACAAACACATTAAATCATTTTGGCATTTCTAATGTTAAGCGATAAAGAGGCCTACATAACAATCCAACAAAAGAATTTGTAGTTCCCATATCTTATAAAACCCATCCAATAACATTAAGAGAAAAAGGAGATCTTTTTTCACTGATTTATGAACTTAAAAAATAATAGCAAAATTATGGATTGATAAAAATTTGCCTATAGTTCTTAAACTGTACGTGTCATAATATGTAAAATACACACTTATCTTTGAAAACATAAGTTATATTGGATGAAAAAAACCTCTTACTGTCATTTTGCGACTACTACTGAATTCCTTAAAAATATGTTGACATACTTTTTTATTAAAATAGTTCATATTAGTGGGATGGATGAGTCTAAAGAGAAGCAGAAAAATTATTGATATGCGGTTGAAAATTGGTAAGTTTTAGTCACAAATCACCACAGTTTTCCAATTTCAATCTGTTCCTCTGTTTTGTCAAAATTGCGTTCGCGTGGCTAAAACCAGTTTCAACCATGTATGAAGTTGGGAATGCAAGTAAGAAAAGTTCGGCTTCTGCTCTGAGCTTGGGATATTTAGAGCAATATTGTTATTGCTCCAAAATTCACTGTGGTTTTTATTTTTAAACAACGCTTTAGCTTCGAAATCTACACATATTTCACTCAATTCATCTTCTAAGCCAGGTTCACTACCTTCATTATCTATTTTTACATCAAATGGATTAGCAAACCATTCGGGAACATGCATATTCTCCGAGTCTTCGAAACGTGTTTTAAAGTTTTCTCTTAATTTATCAAGATGTTTAATATATGTCTGCAAATCACGGTCGGAAATCTTTTTATTTTTTTTAGTACTCACAAGTTTGAAAAATGTTTAAAATCGGATCGTGCCAATGAAGATTTAAATTTCTCCATTTTCCATGCTTGAAAGGCCATTATGATTGTTCGAGCTTAAACAATTGTAACGTTTTTCCTTGCAAACGCTTCTGTACTATATTAATGATTTTCGATATATTACGATATTTTCCCTGTAAAGGACAAAATATCTACATTTAGATATAAAATACTTAGAGTTACAATCTTACTAGAGTGTAACAGTGAAAAGTATTTCTGAACTACCAGCATTCATAACATGTTTGCAACTCTAATCCAGTTGCCAGATGCGTGAAAACAGAGTAACACATGCTTAAAGCGGCGTAGGCTAAGGCAAAACTCAAGCTATAACTAGGGTAGTCAGTAATGTTGATCACATCTGTATTTCGAATTTTTATTGGAATACTCTATTTTTTTCTTAGACAATTTAATTGATCCTCTTTGGTATTAATCGACCCCCTTTCGACCCTCGTGTATTAATCGACCCCTGGAGAACTCTTATCGACCCCAAGGGGTCGATATCGACCACTTTGGGGACCCCTATGTTAAAGTGATAATGTATATTATTAAATTATAAACATGTAGAAAATGGTCTCAATGGGATATACCCCAAATAACCACTGTGTATCATAGTACAAATATTGTAATATTAACTATTATTCATATTTAGTGTTATCTAAGTAAATACCATTTCAGTATAAAAATTATTCAAACAAATTCTTACTGTAATCATTTTGTACCAAAATTAAATAATAAGTAAATAGTAAATTATTGTTCTTTAAGAACAAAAAATAACGTACATACTCTAGGTAATTAATTAATGACTATTGAAAACAGAGATTTGATAGATTTTAGTTCGCATACTATATAAATGAAAAACAAGACAAGAACTACCATTGTTAACAAATAATTCGCTGTAAATTGTGATAGATTATACAATCGTTTTATGAAAAAAATATAAACTAATCTTCAGGAATTTGCCTACAAAATTTAAATTTCTGCTTAATAAAAAATTGAGGACACCATCTAGGAATAAAATATTTATAATTGCTTCTGTTCAAACATATTACAGTAGAGCATCGATTATCCGATTCAATTGGGGACTTAGGTTGGTCGGATAACTGAAAAAATCGGATAACCGAAAAGAATGATAAAATACATTATTAGTATAGTATATTAGTATATTAGTATAGCCTACGTAATTAGTATATCAGTATATCGCTATTAACCAACTTTGCGTTGAATTTTCATCGATGTTAAGCCTAACAATTTTTTTTCAAAATAATAATCGTCGCTATTGTAACGTTAAAAATTAAAAATTATTCTTAAATTATTTTATTGCTCAGAAAACAAACAACCACTCATAATTAGAAAGTTAAGTCTTGTTTAAATACTGACCTCCCTTCTATGGTCGAGCCATGTTGCCAGCTAAAACACGAAAAAATAAAATAATATTAAAGTAGCCAAGAGATAGCCAAATATTTTAGCACCACATCATTAGCGGACATTTGAAATTTGCCAACTAGAATGGTCGGTTAACCGATGTGACGGTTAATCGGGGGTCAGATAATCGATGCTCTAATGTATTAAAATTTTATTCATTTGCAAAACTTTTCCATTCACAATGTTGTGTGATTTATACAGTAGCCAAATCTATATAATTTTTTAAAGCTATGGCTTGATTTTAGTAATTATTAAGTTTGTACAGTTAATACATGTTTAAGCTTGACCATACACAGGTACAATCATTAACACAAAAGTGTTATTACTGTAACATCTATAATAAGACTGTTTAAGCAGACAACTGTTCAATACTAATTAGTAAACACTAACAAGTGTTGAACCACACTAAGTGTGTATGTAAATTCGTTTCACTTCGCATTATTTCCGATTGCTTGTCTGTGAATACGATTCTTTATAAGTGATTTTTAAAATTACAATATTAATGATTATTGGCTTCTTTCAAAGGCGTTTTATTCTCGATACTGAGTTAAAAATAATTCTGTATGTTTTATAAAATAGTTACTGAGCTATATACATTAATAATGAATAATAAACTAGAATTTCCCCACTTAATTTAAACATGCATCGAGAACGACATACTTATAACGTGTGCTTCTATTACTAAATAGAAGTGAAAAGGTCGTGTCGTCACAGTAATCTCATGTAATTGCAAATACAGTCGACACCCCTATAACACGGGTTCATATAATGCGAATTCGTATATCGCGACAAAAACAAGCTTAAACAATGGCATCGTCAAATGGTGCACACTCGGTAAGTAATCCTACAGTTTTCTGTTTATAGTATAGTTTATACGGATTATTCTCAAAAAATTATACGTGTTTTGGATATATTAAGTCAAATTAGTCTAGAATCAATTAATTGTATGGAAGAAAACTTTTCGAACAGCCGTAGTCCGTAAACTGCACACGTGCCGGGCTGTGATTGGCTCATGTATTTAAGGATTCCTACAACGGGAAATTCTTATAAAGTGGAACGAATCTACCGCGTTATAGGGGGTCGACTGTATTTTACATAATTTGTGTTGAAATCACTGGAAATCTTTTTTAATTTACAGTGGTGGCACATTAACTAATTCTTTTCATATATTATATAAAAATTAAATAAAAGTGTTGAGATTATCGTTATTGTTATTACTATATATTACGATAGTTAATTCGTGCGTTAAATTTAAATTTACTTTTTAATATTTATGAATATAGTTTTACATGCAAAACTTGTACTGTCAGTTTTAGTTAATTTACATACTTATTTTGTAGAAATTTAAAAATAAGTATATTTTTTCATTAAATGATTGTATTCTTTTGTTTTTTAAGCTCTCATATTTAGCATAAATTAAATAATTACAACTTATTTCAAATTTTTGTCAGTACCGCACGACATTCAGACTTATACCCAAAGTTGTCATTTCATTTTACACCACCTTTACTTTTGCACATTTGTACAGATTCCGAATCTTATTGTAATTAATTGATGTTTAATATTTTTAATATAAGTTGTGAAATCCGAAAATATTCGTTATGTTATAACTACAAGATGTTTCATTAAACTTTTAACCATTCAGGTTATCAGCAGGCTTGGTGGCATGCCCTTCACTGTTTTGGAGCCAAAGTTATTGCTTTCTGTAGTTTTATGTAAATAAATATTTCGTATAAAATACCATGAATCGAATATTTACAAAAGAATCCATCAAAAGTACTTTAAAAACATGAATATTTCTAAAAGTGTACAATCGAAACGTATTAAAACTTAATGTTCTACAAAGAGTTCGGTGGTGTAATAATTTCAACATAAAATAATACTTATGCAAATTAACGATAATAAAGAATATGCTCGTATCTAAGTACATCGATATTAATATAGCGGGTAATGGAACCAACAGCTTAAATCGATTTTAATGAGTCAGGCTTCGTGATTCTTTATTTCCTTTCGTATAAAAGTCACATTACTAAGCAGCACCCATAAGACATATGTACTTGCTATTGTTTTTTGAGTAACATTATTTGTGTCAAAGAACTGAACAGTCTATCAATGAGAAAACTTCTGAATTTAATTTCGTCAGTATTTTTAAAGTAATATAATTTCATTTTTACTAATCTGCATGGTTAATTGTTTTAACTCTCTTACCTTACGCGAATATTTGCGAAAATCTATTAAAGAATAAATATTAAATTTTACATTACAAAATCCATAAGCTAAAATAAAAAATACGTTCAATTATTAATTAATTTTATATTTTAATAAATAATGTTAAAAAATAATGACGTAACACTATCTATTGTAATTTTTTATATGAAGAATGTAATTTAGTTTATTACATATTTGACGCCTCCTTTTATACAAAATAATAACTGAAACAGAAGAAATTTGTTCTATGCAATTGTTTCTTTCAGATGTAAATACAAGGTACAAATTACGGATTAATACATGTTATATTAATATCATTCTGCTACTGATAATTTAATTTTACAATTAAAATATGATTCTTGTATCTTATTTTGTATAAACACTCTTGAATTGAAAAAAATTTTAAGCAACTTTACACAGTCTTGTTTATTTTTCAGATATTTCCAATAAAACAAACATCACAAAGAGTCACAAAAGTGTCTTTTGTTTTAAGTCTTTCTCTTCCAAATCTTCTCTCAATCGTCACAACCAAACTCACAGTGGAGAGAACATATTCGCATGTGATATATGTAAAAAATGTTTTGCAAGTAAATTTGAGATGACATCTCATCGTAGAATTCATACAGCAGAAAAACTTTACCAGTGCATTGTATGTGATAAACGTTTTGCTCAAAAATCTACTTTGTCTACACATCTCAGAACGCACACAGGAGAGAAGCCATTTGAATGTGACATATGTAAAAAATGTTTTGCAAGGAAATTTCCAATGACATGTCATCGTAGAATTCATACAGGAGAAAAACCTTACCAGTGCAATGTATGTGATAAACGTTTTGCTCAAAAATCTGCTTTGTCTGTACATCATAGAAAGCACACTGGAGAGAAGCCATTCAAATGTAATGTATGTGATAAGAGTTTTTCTATAAATAGCAATCTTTCTGTTCATCTCAGAACGCACACAGGAGAGAAGCCATTCGAATGTGATATATGTAAAAAAGGTTTTGTAACAAAAATGGAAATGACCCGTCATCGTAGATCTCACACAGGAGAGAAACCTTATCAGTGTAATATATGTGATAAATTTTTTTCACGTAAAAGTTTTTTGTCTGTTCATTGCAGAAAGCATACAGAAGAAAAGCGTTATAACTGTGACATATGTCACCGAACATTTAAATATTACTCAGGTTGTCATAAACACAAAAAAAATACATACCGTATTAGAAAAATTTACGTGTTGTTTATGCGGCACTTCTTTTGCTCAAGAAGATAAAATGGTTAATCATGTTTGGCTGCATATTAATTCAGGTTGTCCAAAATGTAACTGCCAGTTCTCATGTGAACGAAGCTTTTTAGCTCACGTTCTTCAACATTCTAAAGAAACACCGCGACTGTGCGAAACTTGCCTTAACCCTTTTGCTCGGATTTCTGCGTTTAAGTTGTATAACACTATTCTATTTTTTCCGGAAAATGCATCTTACTGCACGGATTGTGGATCAAAAAATTAATTGTATAATATGTAGAAAGTTTATTTTGCGTGTTGTTCCATGGTATGCTATTTAGTCGTATTTGCGTGAAATTATCGCTGTCAACACGAACAAAGAATATCCATTTCGAAAAATTTTAACTTTTATCTTTCAGCAGACAGCTAAGATTTTAATGTAACTTTCTTTGTCTTCTTGAAATATCATGCATTATAGTTGAACATTGTATTTGAACCAGAAGTTTTATGTAAAATATTACATATAAAATTCTAAAATAATGATTAATAAATGTATTTAAAAAGTGAAATTTAGAGCAACGATTAATATTTAATCACTCTAACACACTAAAAAATTAAATATCTTGAATTACACCACCAAAATAAACCTAATAATGTTTTATTAAACATAGTCAACACCAGATCGAAAACATTAGCTTAATTACTGTGTACCTCAAAAGTGTGAGAACCGTCGCGGTATGACAACGTCGTATTTTCATGCATTAGGCTTTAAGTTGGACGGACTTGCCCACTTGTAAGTAATGGCTTAAATTTTTAGTTTATTTCATGCGAACGGAACTAACTTTTTTCGGGTCTGGTCGAGTGTAGTAGGGAGGAGTGCCATCGGTAAGGTGACAGGCGATATAGAAGTAAAAGAGGTTACCAATTTAACTAAGAAACAACAATTTATAAGTTATCTATATAGATGGTACAATAACTATTATCGAGGGAAAATTCTGAGTCCCTAAGCGCGAAGGGGGCGAGAGAGAGTTTACAGAAGTTGTCTTTATACCTCTTTATGTATTTAGATATCATGGCGAAAATCAGGTAATCCACCGAGTTGTCGAAAATAGAATCAGGGCACAAAGTTATAGAAAAATCCTGTTACTGGCACTACTATTGTCGATGGGCGACTCCTTTGGAGGAGGGGAGAGAAGTGGCTTTTATCGTTTCACGGTCATGTGACTAATTAGCTGCGAGGTAAAAGGTGTGCGATAAAATCAAAGTTGTCCACACAACCCAAATAAAATGACGAAATTGTCTGTTAACTATAAACGTTTAAGTTCGTAGTATGGGAATATTGTCGAGATGGGCGAATGTTTAATTTAAAAAGAAAAGAAAAGTAGAAATTTCTCCCTCATTCAAATTGTTTTTGTCTATTTTCTAGGGGAAAAATCAGTAAAAATTGTGGATTTGACAGAAGCATAAAACAAAGACGAAGTAACAACTGAATTAACGATTATCAGACAATTGCTCATATTACGTAAGTTAGACGATCTACATATCTTAATAACTTTGTTAGTTTTTATGCAAGTGTTAGGTTATAGTAAACTAAAGCTAGTGTAGATATCGCCGTCTCTGTATGAACTGGCAAAAGCGGTGTAAGATTACTCGGGACAAAAAGAGACCTGTTGTTCAGTTAGCCGCCTAGTTATAGACGTGTGAACAACTACATGTACAGTCAGAGATTAAAAGAAAGCTTAACTATAAGTTAAAGGACTGCCTTATCATTGTTCTAACAATAAGTATTCCTTTTAAAAATCTGAGTGTGAAAGTTATATTTTCCATTACACTTAAATACTACACCACTACATGTGTTGCGAAACTACTCGTACTATATCATTTCTAAACCTCCATTTATCATGTTTAGAAAATGTACTTCTATTACGACATATAACGACTTTATATTTTGAACGATTTTAACTCTTATTATTTTTTAATAAATAATTATTTAAACTATTAATATCTCTTTGATACCTTTAACACAATCGGCAATCAAAACAATATCATCTGAATACGCCAATATTTTGAACACTATTACTGATTATATTTATATTTTAATTAGAATTATTTATCAATTCAATTAAATAATTTAAATACAATATGAACAAAACAGGACTAAAACACAACACTTGTAGCTGTAAAAGAAAAATGAGAGCAAAATCGCCCCCATTTGATTCTTTATATGATTCTGCATGCAAAGAAACAAATTTAAAACTCAGACGATGTCTTTTCTTTTTAATAAATTTTTATCGACAGTTTCACAGGTCGAATACAAAAAAGCATATATTATACGTCTTAAGACGCTTTACGTTTTAGTAACAAGAATATGCAAAATGAAAACATTATCTACAGTAGAATATTTCTATCGATAACCAGCTTATTTTTTATATAAAATATCATGTAAATTTAACTAAGTTAGTTGCCTAAAACACAGCATTCTAGAAAAAAAATTTTGAAGAACAAGTTAGTAAGAAAATTCTTTTGTAATTACTAAGAATCAATTTGGGCCAATTTATATACTAGACACAAAAGGGAACTCCCCCAATTTTTGGGTACTACGCCAGTGTTCAAAATTTTGTCAAAACTTTTAAATAATAATATAAAAAAACGGTATATATTTTTATAAATTCCTGAGGGAATACTATTAACATCAGGCGCAAAATCAAGTTTTACTTTACTTAAAGTGTAATTACCTCTTCCTAGATCGCGTGTTTTTCTAACTATATTTTGTTTGCTTTGCATCTCACAGACACCTTTTTTTTTTTTATCCTAAAATTGTAAAATTTTTGGCCTCCCTTCAAAAATTATTATTACATCTTTGTTTTCTATATTTTTACTACTTTTAAACAGTGTAAAATATTTTTATGTTGAAACAAATGCTTTATTTGTGTCGAATTCAATGTAATTTGATACGAAAAATTCAAATAATAAATATATCAAATGTAAATTTTTTGTAATATATCTCCCGTTCTACCGATTGCCATTTGGTTTGTTTGTAAATGGGGAAGAAATATGACTCTTTTAAGTGAAGTCAGTAGAAATTTCGTACTGCTGTGAGAAAATTTGTCAACAGACCCCGCATTACTCTTACCACAAAAGTCAATAAACGTTAGTTGTTTTATGACTCTATAATCAAATGCTTTTTTCTGAGTTGTAAATTGACCAATTGACAAAGTTTTTATTTCGTTTTCTTACAAGAATGTTTTCTTCGAAATTTAACAAATAGTTTTGTTAGATCTTTATATATTTATTTCATTTTCACTTTTTAATGTAATATAGTCGTGTGTTAAGCTTAAATCGTACACCTAATATCAAAATTGACATCGCTCAAAATATTATACAGACTATTAAAATTCTATGCTGACAGTTTAGATATAAATGTTTTCTTTGTATAAAATGAAGCAAATCAAAAAATAAAAAGGGAACCATGAAAAATTCGGCAATTTACGACAAGATGTCAAATGCGTAAATTTGTTTATTTATAACTAAAAATATTCTTAAAATTTCATAAAAAAATGCATTTGCGACAATACCCTAAATTAAATTGTTACACAACAAACAAATATTCTACAATTACCGCAAATTTTATTAGCCAAACTAATTAATATATTTTTTGTCACTATTATTTGTCGCGAGCAACAACGCGATTTTTCGCAGAGTATAATGAGACTTTGCTGAGTGTAATAATAATCTCAACTTCTTTCTAAGATATATCAAAAAACATTGTAATCTAATATAGCAATATATTCATTGCAAGCAATATATAACTGCTTCATATAGAGATCAAAAACACTTATAATTGTTTACTAGACTCATTGCCTAAACTTATAAATTATGTAAAAAGATAATTAAAATAAAAAATACATATGTAAACAAAGCACAAAAGCATACACGAATGAATAGGTTTCTTCGACCCAAATTGTCTGCTAGCCACGGCAGAGTATAAATATTTCATTTGAATTTTACATAAACATGTGTACCACCCTGACTAAGGAGGTATATGTTATATAAAATTCCTATCGATATAAATACAGCGCGTGTTCTGTGAGACCTAGGCGCAATGCGGTTTCACATTATAATTATTGACTACCTATTCGAGAACTTATTCAGCGAGGATTTATTTCAGATAGTACAGTTGTAGAATTACAACAATTGAATTGCTTATCCGATTTAAAATTGACTGTACTGAACATTTGAGATAGACCAGACAAAAATAGTTTTACTGAATTCAAAGCAAAATTTCCTTTATCCGCCTACTTAAAAATTGAATCATGTTTATTAAATACATATACAGTGAAATCCTCAGTTATAGAAGTCATGATTAACCAAGGTTTTGCGTGATATGTGTTTTATAGTGTGAATTATAAAAAAACATTTAATTAATAGAATAAGTTATCAAATTACTTCAGATTAAAAATTATTTATTAATGTATAAAATAACAGCATAAGTAAATAACAAAGTGATTTAATTTTAGAAAGAACAGAAACAATTCAATATGATTTTATTCAACACAAAAGCTTACAAATGCACTTAAATGTTAAGATTTTATTAATAATATTATTTTGTAATGATAAAGCGTTTCACTAGCAAACTGTATCCTTATTTTATAAGATCAAAATTAAAAATATATACATTAAATTAATTAAAAGATTTAATTGACATTAAAGTGTATCAGAGAAGAAGTATTCTGAAATTACAGCATAAGCTATAATATAATGTATTTATTTACACTGTACTGCTAAATTAATTAATGTATATTTAAGAAATAACAATATATGCGTAAAAATATATTAGTTATAAATTCTATTACTGTATAAAAACATTATTTACATTTCTAAATTATTTAATATTCACGAATATGCAGGATAATTTTATGCAATTATAAAAATTTATTTTTGTATGTATTTGTGATTCAGTTAATATGAAATTTTTTACAACTAACGGACGTATTACTAAAATGAAGTTACACCATAACATTTAGTGGTATCAAATACATCTAAAATATGTTAATAATGACAAAAAAAAAATGGCATTGCAGGAAATTTATAGTACATTGCTTTATCGAAAATCAATATAATAGTTTCTAAATTTTAATCCATGTGGAGGTATGGATATAGTTGTCGCAATGCTGTTAACAGGCTAATCTTAATATTATTAATTCAATCTATATCTACCGGTATATATATATAAATGGACGTGTGTGTTTTTATATTTCACTTTTCCGCCAAAACTACACATCGCACATGAATGGTGTTTGTATGTGGTAGTAGCCCCAAGTCTCCATTCGTGCACTATGGTGGTTGCGTCTTGATAGCTATAATGGTGCGGGAGATATAGGGCTGAAAGTGGTTTAAAGTGGTTTTCTATTTCGAATTTTATGTTCGAATTTGTTCGAATTTGAATTCGAACATAAAATTCGAATATTGATTCGATTATAGAACGATTGTAAACGTCCCAAAAACGTTGAAAATAGTTTTTTTTTGACTAGACGTGAACAGGAGACGTTCAGAAATAGAATCGGGACCAGGTCTCTATTAGTCTGGTAACGGGGGACCTAATTCTTCCGTTTTGTGAAAACGAGTAAGATTGGCTATAATGTAATTATCTTAATCTTCACGATTGTTACTTTTTGCCCACAAATAAAAACCCAGCGAAGCGAGTCTTTGCAGCTAGTATTTAAATACTTCTGATTAATTCCACATTTCAAATTTAAATATTCGAATCTGTAAAGATTCTTGATAAGTTTGCAGTTTTTGTTCTTCTTAGAATAAAAATAAATTAAGGATGCAAAATTAATTGCTATAGAACATATCAAACAAGTTATAACATATTAAACGTTCGATTTTTATATTTATCTATTAAACATTTCTACATTTCATCTTGAACCAACACTGATTAACATTGTTTTATGTTTCTTCTTAATTTTGTATCATTCAAAATATAAGATTTCTCATAGGAAAGTTATTAACTCAAAAATGAGCAAAACGTACAATGTACGATAAGTGTTACAAAATGACAATGTGCGTGGCATAACAAATAGTAATTCTTACTTCATATTCAAAAATCATCCAGATATATATTATTTTCTCTTAGTTCATTTGATTCAGGATAATAATGTATGTTATAAACACACTTAAAATTGACAAAATTAGGCTTTTATTTATAGTGAACATCTCACAAGCCGTAAAATCAGGCAACTCTTCTACACACTTAGCGTGAAGGGATATACGAGAAGCCAAACTCTGTAACAAGTGGTTATCGCTGGATACTGAAACCATGTAAAAAGTTTTCGTTATTTCATTCGCAATGTTTGTTACTCGAGATGCTGACACACATATATTTATAAAGTACACAAACGAAATAAAAGCAGTCAAGATAAACTCGATTAACTTATTTATTTTCATAGACGGAGGAACGGCTAAGTATAAATGAAGAATAAATATCAGGTTACTTCCGATATAAACGCTCCAAAAAAATAAAATCCAGGAGTAAATATTTGATAAACTCTTAACGACACATAAAATATAAGTGTACGTTTTTTGCATGGACTGTAATCGTAAAAAAGAAACTTGCCCTTCTTTCGAATAATTTAATAAAGCTTCTAAAGAATTTTCTAATTTTTCACAAATTTCTATAAATAATAAAAATAACCAAAGTATGGGCATTACCTGAAATCTATAGTACATTGCGCTATCGAAAATCAGTATAATAATTTCTACAATACGATTAAATTTAAATCCAAGTGTTTTATATTCCAATCCATCTGCAGGTATTGATATAGTTGTCGCAATGGTGTAAACAAGGAAGCAAATCCAAATAACGATAACTTTAATGTTTAAATATTTATAATTAATTCCACGTTTTAAATTTAAATGTTTGAGTTTATGAAGCTGGTTCAGAAGTTTGCGGATTTTGTTCTTCTTAACATTAAAATGAATTGAGGATGCAAAATTAATTGCTATAAAAAATTCTGAAAAAGCGAATGTTATAATCATATCTGTTGTATTATCCTCTGTTAGAAGATAAATGCAAACTAAAGTGAAATAAATTGTATGCAAGATGCCAATAACAATTGTAAACACTTCGAATAACGTAATACGTCTTGCTGTATAATTTAAACCGCAAAGCTTCATAGAGATCAGCAGTGGATTCCAAGTATCTTGAAATCCTTCGTTGAAATTTGATTGTGAAATAGTACGAATCTTACTTACCGAAAACATTCTCGTTCTCGTAAACTTGTGTATATCTCAAGTTTTATTACGACAGAATTCTTGAAAATTGTCTTAGTTCTTTACACTGGATTGCGCTTTATCGAGGACAAATGTGAAACTCCGACTGAAAAATTAATTTAGCTGTTGTTTTCGAAGTGCACGATAAATGTCGCATTAAAATCAACTTTGTTAATCTATGAAATTAAATTTTAATTTACTTACTTGATAAAATCAATAAAAATTCATTTGCACTATTTACTTTATTCTTGTTTCTGGACGTTCGTGACGAAGAAAATCGATAATTTAATGAACTTCATCATACCGAAAACATTTTCGTTTGCGTAAACTTTTGTTCTTGTCAAGTTTAATTACGACATAGTTCTTAAAAATTTCCTTGTACTGTATACTGNTAAAATTTTTGTCAGTACCGCACGACATTCAGACTTATACCCAAAGTTGTCATTTCATTTTACACCACCTTTACTTTTGCACATTTGTACAGATTCCGAATCTTATTGTAATTAATTGATGTTTAATATTTTTAATATAAGTTGTGAAATCCGAAAATATTCGTTATGTTATAACTACAAGATGTTTCATTAAACTTTTAACCATTCAGGTTATCAGCAGGCTTGGTGGCATGCCCTTCACTGTTTTGGAGCCAAAGTTATTGCTTTCTGTAGTTTTATGTAAATAAATATTTCGTATAAAATACCATGAATCGAATATTTACAAAAGAATCCATCAAAAGTACTTTAAAAACATGAATATTTCTAAAAGTGTACAATCGAAACGTATTAAAACTTAATGTTTTACAGAGAGTTTGGTGGTGTAATAATTTCTACATAAAATAATACTTATGCAAATTAACGATAATAAAGAATATGCTCGTATCTAAGTACATCGATATTAATATAGCGGGTAATGGAACCAACAGCTTAAATCGATTTTAATGAGTCAGGCTTCGTGATTCTTTATTTCCTTTCGTATAAAAGTCACATTACTAAGCAGCACCCATAAGACATATGTACTTGCTATTGTTTTTTGAGTAACATTATTTGTGTCAAAGAACTGAACAGTCTATCAATGAGAAAACTTCTGAATTTAATTTCGTCAGTATTTTTAAAGTAATATAATTTCATTTTTACTAATCTGCATGGTTAATTGTTTTAACTCTCTTACCTTACGCGAATATTTGCGAAAATCTATTAAAGAATAAATATTAAATTTTACATTACAAAATCCATAAGCTAAAATAAAAAATACGTTCAATTATTAATTAATTTTATATTTTAATAAATAATGTTAAAAAATAATGACGTAACACTATCTATTGTAATTTTTTATATGAAGAATGTAATTTAGTTTATTACATATTTGACGCCTCCTTTTATACAAAATAATAACTGCAACAGAAGAAATTTGTTCTGTGCGATTGTTTCTTTCAGATGTAAATACAAGGTACAAATTACGGATTAATACATGTTATATTAATATCATTCTGCTACTGATAATTTAATTTTACAATTAAAATATGATTCTTGTATCTTATTTTGTATAAACACTCTTGAATTGAAAAAAATTTTAAGCAACTTTACACAGTCTTGTTTATTTTTCAGATATTTCCAATAAAACAAACATCACAAAGAGTCACAAAAGTGTCTTTTGTTTTAAGTCTTTCTCTTCCAAATCTTCTCTCAATCGTCACAACCAAACTCACAGTGGAGAGAACATATTCGCATGTGATATATGTAAAAAATGTTTTGCAAGTAAATTTGAGATGACATCTCATCGTAGAATTCATACAGCAGAAAAACTTTACCAGTGCATTGTATGTGATAAACGTTTTGCTCAAAAATCTACTTTGTCTACACATCTCAGAACGCACACAGGAGAGAAGCCATTTGAATGTGACATATGTAAAAAATGTTTTGCAAGGAAATTTCCAATGACATGTCATCGTAGAATTCATACAGGAGAAAAACCTTACCAGTGCAATGTATGTGATAAACGTTTTGCTCAAAAATCTGCTTTGTCTGTACATCATAGAAAGCACACTGGAGAGAAGCCATTCAAATGTAATGTATGTGATAAGAGTTTTTCTATAAATAGCAATCTTTCTGTTCATCTCAGAACGCACACAGGAGAGAAGCCATTCGAATGTGATATATGTAAAAAAGGTTTTGTAACAAAAATGGAAATGACCCGTCATCGTAGATCTCACACAGGAGAGAAACCTTATCAGTGTAATATATGTGATAAATTTTTTTCACGTAAAAGTTTTTTGTCTGTTCATTGCAGAAAGCATACAGAAGAAAAGCGTTATAACTGTGACATATGTCACCGAACATTTAAATATTACTCAGGTTGTCATAAACACAAAAAAAATACATACCGTATTAGAAAAATTTACGTGTTGTTTATGCGGCACTTCTTTTGCTCAAGAAGATAAAATGGTTAATCATGTTTGGCTGCATATTAATTCAGGTTGTCCAAAATGTAACTGCCAGTTCTCATGTGAACGAAGCTTTTTAGCTCACGTTCTTCAACATTCTAAAGAAACACCGCGACTGTGCGAAACTTGCCTTAACCCTTTTGCTCGGATTTCTGCGTTTAAGTTGTATAACACTATTCTATTTTTTCCGGAAAATGCATCTTACTGCACGGATTGTGGATCAAAAAATTAATTGTATAATATGTAGAAAGTTTATTTTGCGTGTTGTTCCATGGTATGCTATTTAGTCGTATTTGCGTGAAATTATCGCTGTCAACACGAACAAAGAATATCCATTTCGAAAAATTTTAACTTTTATCTTTCAGCAGACAGCTAAGATTTTAATGTAACTTTCTTTGTCTTCTTGAAATATCATGCATTATAGTTGAACATTGTATTTGAACCAGAAGTTTTATGTAAAATATTACATATAAAATTCTAAAATAATGATTAATAAATGTATTTAAAAAGTGAAATTTAGAGCAACGATTAATATTTAATCACTCTAACACACTAAAAAATTAAATATCTTGAATTACACCACCAAAATAAACCTAATAATGTTTTATTAAACATAGTCAACACCAGATCGAAAACATTAGCTTAATTACTGTGTACCTCAAAAGTGTGAGAACCGTCGCGGTATGACAACGTCGTATTTTCATGCATTAGGCTTTAAGTTGGACGGACTTGCCCACTTGTAAGTAATGGCTTAAATTTTTAGTTTATTTCATGCGAACGGAACTAACTTTTTTCGGGTCTGGTCGAGTGTAGTAGGGAGGAGTGCCATCGGTAAGGTGACAGGCGATATAGAAGTAAAAGAGGTTACCAATTTAACTAAGAAACAACAATTTATAAGTTATCTATATAGATGGTACAATAACTATTATCGAGGGAAAATTCTGAGTCCCTAAGCGCGAAGGGGGCGAGAGAGAGTTTACAGAAGTTGTCTTTATACCTCTTTATGTATTTAGATATCATGGCGAAAATCAGGTAATCCACCGAGTTGTCGAAAATAGAATCAGGGCACAAAGTTATAGAAAAATCCTGTTACTGGCACTACTATTGTCGATGGGCGACTCCTTTGGAGGAGGGGAGAGAAGTGGCTTTTATCGTTTCACGGTCATGTGACTAATTAGCTGCGAGGTAAAAGGTGTGCGATAAAATCAAAGTTGTCCACACAACCCAAATAAAATGACGAAATTGTCTGTTAACTATAAACGTTTAAGTTCGTAGTATGGGAATATTGTCGAGATGGGCGAATGTTTAATTTAAAAAGAAAAGAAAAGTAGAAATTTCTCCCTCATTCAAATTGTTTTTGTCTATTTTCTAGGGGAAAAATCAGTAAAAATTGTGGATTTGACAGAAGCATAAAACAAAGACGAAGTAACAACTGAATTAACGATTATCAGACAATTGCTCATATTACGTAAGTTAGACGATCTACATATCTTAATAACTTTGTTAGTTTTTATGCAAGTGTTAGGTTATAGTAAACTAAAGCTAGTGTAGATATCGCCGTCTCTGTATGAACTGGCAAAAGCGGTGTAAGATTACTCGGGACAAAAAGAGACCTGTTGTTCAGTTAGCCGCCTAGTTATAGACGTGTGAACAACTACATGTACAGTCAGAGATTAAAAGAAAGCTTAACTATAAGTTAAAGGACTGCCTTATCATTGTTCTAACAATAAGTATTCCTTTTAAAAATCTGAGTGTGAAAGTTATATTTTCCATTACACTTAAATACTACACCACTACATGTGTTGCGAAACTACTCGTACTATATCATTTCTAAACCTCCATTTATCATGTTTAGAAAATGTACTTCTATTACGACATATAACGACTTTATATTTTGAACGATTTTAACTCTTATTATTTTTTAATAAATAATTATTTAAACTATTAATATCTCTTTGATACCTTTAACACAATCGGCAATCAAAACAATATCATCTGAATACGCCAATATTTTGAACACTATTACTGATTATATTTATATTTTAATTAGAATTATTTATCAATTCAATTAAATAATTTAAATACAATATGAACAAAACAGGACTAAAACACAACACTTGTAGCTGTAAAAGAAAAATGAGAGCAAAATCGCCCCCATTTGATTCTTTATATGATTCTGCATGCAAAGAAACAAATTTAAAACTCAGACGATGTCTTTTCTTTTTAATAAATTTTTATCGACAGTTTCACAGGTCGAATACAAAAAAGCATATATTATACGTCTTAAGACGCTTTACGTTTTAGTAACAAGAATATGCAAAATGAAAAAATTATCTACAGTAGAATATTTCTATCGATAACCAGCTTATTTTTTATATAAAATATCATGTAAATTTAACTAAGTTAGTTGCCTAAAACACAGCATTCTAGAAAAAAAATTTTGAAGAACAAGTTAGTAAGAAAATTCTTTTGTAATTACTAAGAATCAATTTGGGCCAATTTATATACTAGACACAAAAGGGAACTCCCCCAATTTTTGGGTACTACGCCAGTGTTCAAAATTTTGTCAAAACTTTTAAATAATAATATAAAAAAACGGTATATATTTTTATAAATTCCTGAGGGAATACTATTAACATCAGGCGCAAAATCAAGTTTTACTTTACTTAAAGTGTAATTACCTCTTCCTAGATCGCGTGTTTTTCTAACTATATTTTGTTTGCTTTGCATCTCACAGACACCTTTTTTTTTTTTATCCTAAAATTGTAAAATTTTTGGCCTCCCTTCAAAAATTATTATTACATCTTTGTTTTCTATATTTTTACTACTTTTAAACAGTGTAAAATATTTTTATGTTGAAACAAATGCTTTATTTGTGTCGAATTCAATGTAATTTGATACGAAAAATTCAAATAATAAATATATCAAATGTAAATTTTTTGTAATATATCTCCCGTTCTACCGATTGCCATTTGGTTTGTTTGTAAATGGGGAAGAAATATGACTCTTTTAAGTGAAGTCAGTAGAAATTTCGTACTGCTGTGAGAAAATTTGTCAACAGACCCCGCATTACTCTTACCACAAAAGTCAATAAACGTTAGTTGTTTTATGACTCTATAATCAAATGCTTTTTTCTGAGTTGTAAATTGACCAATTGACAAAGTTTTTATTTCGTTTTCTTACAAGAATGTTTTCTTCGAAATTTAACAAATAGTTTTGTTAGATCTTTATATATTTATTTCATTTTCACTTTTTAATGTAATATAGTCGTGTGTTAAGCTTAAATCGTACACCTAATATCAAAATTGACATCGCTCAAAATATTATACAGACTATTAAAATTCTATGCTGACAGTTTAGATATAAATGTTTTCTTTGTATAAAATGAAGCAAATCAAAAAATAAAAAGGGAACCATGAAAAATTCGGCAATTTACGACAAGATGTCAAATGCGTAAATTTGTTTATTTATAACTAAAAATATTCTTAAAATTTCATAAAAAAATGCATTTGCGACAATACCCTAAATTAAATTGTTACACAACAAACAAATATTCTACAATTACCGCAAATTTTATTAGCCAAACTAATTAATATATTTTTTGTCACTATTATTTGTCGCGAGCAACAACGCGATTTTTCGCAGAGTATAATGAGACTTTGCTGAGTGTAATAATAATCTCAACTTCTTTCTAAGATATATCAAAAAACATTGTAATCTAATATAGCAATATATTCATTGCAAGCAATATATAACTGCTTCATATAGAGATCAAAAACACTTATAATTGTTTACTAGACTCATTGCCTAAACTTATAAATTATGTAAAAAGATAATTAAAATAAAAAATACATATGTAAACAAAGCACAAAAGCATACACGAATGAATAGGTTTCTTCGACCCAAATTGTCTGCTAGCCACGGCAGAGTATAAATATTTCATTTGAATTTTACATAAACATGTGTACCACCCTGACTAAGGAGGTATATGTTATATAAAATTCCTATCGATATAAATACAGCGCGTGTTCTGTGAGACCTAGGCGCAATGCGGTTTCACATTATAATTATTGACTACCTATTCGAGAACTTATTCAGCGAGGATTTATTTCAGATAGTACAGTTGTAGAATTACAACAATTGAATTGCTTATCCGATTTAAAATTGACTGTACTGAACATTTGAGATAGACCAGACAAAAATAGTTTTACTGAATTCAAAGCAAAATTTCCTTTATCCGCCTACTTAAAAATTGAATCATGTTTATTAAATACATATACAGTGAAATCCTCAGTTATAGAAGTCATGATTAACCAAGGTTTTGCGTGATATGTGTTTTATAGTGTGAATTATAAAAAAACATTTAATTAATAGAATAAGTTATCAAATTACTTCAGATTAAAAATTATTTATTAATGTATAAAATAACAGCATAAGTAAATAACAAAGTGATTTAATTTTAGAAAGAACAGAAACAATTCAATATGATTTTATTCAACACAAAAGCTTACAAATGCACTTAAATGTTAAGATTTTATTAATAATATTATTTTGTAATGATAAAGCGTTTCACTAGCAAACTGTATCCTTATTTTATAAGATCAAAATTAAAAATATATACATTAAATTAATTAAAAGATTTAATTGACATTAAAGTGTATCAGAGAAGAAGTATTCTGAAATTACAGCATAAGCTATAATATAATGTATTTATTTACACTGTACTGCTAAATTAATTAATGTATATTTAAGAAATAACAATATATGCGTAAAAATATATTAGTTATAAATTCTATTACTGTATAAAAACATTATTTACATTTCTAAATTATTTAATATTCACGAATATGCAGGATAATTTTATGCAATTATAAAAATTTATTTTTGTATGTATTTGTGATTCAGTTAATATGAAATTTTTTACAACTAACGGACGTATTACTAAAATGAAGTTACACCATAACATTTAGTGGTATCAAATACATCTAAAATATGTTAATAATGACAAAAAAATGGCATTGCAGGAAATTTATAGTACATTGCTTTATCGAAAATCAATATAATAGTTTCTAAATTTTAATCCATGTGGAGGTATGGATATAGTTGTCGCAATGCTGTTAACAGGCTAATCTTAATATTATTAATTCAATCTATATCTACCGGTATATATATATAAATGGACGTGTGTGTTCTTATATTTCACTTTTCCGCCAAAACTACACATCGCAC